CGTAATTCAAGAACACTTTTATTGATTTTTTTTCATAGGATTTGCCTATGCCTACGGTTTTTATTTTGGAGTTGGGGTTGGGAATGGAGGACAAACATTTTATATAGTTTTTCAAAATCGATCTTGGAGCTAGTAAAAAACGTAATCTAAGCTTTCACACCAAAATGCTTACCTTACTTCAAATGTCGCAGTCGTTTTTTTCTTTTAAAAAATCGGATTAATTTGAAATTTTGCAAATTTCAAATTAAAATTTCTACATGATTTTTTGATCATTATAATAACGCAATCATTCTTTTCTCAAAATTGAGTCTGCTCCAAAGCTACCCTATTCCGTACACTTCACTAATATTTGCTGACATACTTGCAGACGATGGGCCCGTCATTTTTCATGACCTTTGTGAGTGTATGGCAGTGCTGCTCCATGTTTTTGTTACACAATACCAAAGAGGTACAAAAGATCCACGTAACAAGCACTAGTAAAAGAGAAAAACGAGCCAGTGAAATGTCTTCTGTAAATACCGGGGAGCAAGATGTCAGCCCTGATCATATCGACGCCATGTAAGAATCTGATTTAAAAACATGTTTGAAGAGTGCAAGGTGATATGAAGTATAATTGTAACACATAACAATTAACTGTTTAACTTTACAAATACCTTACTAAACATTCACAAACACTATCAAAACTGGGTGATGGAGGAGAGTTTGCTCTAGCTGTATACTTGTTACAGATTACAGACATTTGGGATAAACTTTCTCGAGCAGAGTTTTGGGCAGCACTGTGTAGAGTCGTATATTGCCGGATATCACGATGTGTTCAGAGGAGATTGTCATGAAGAACTGGCAAAGGTATTGATTTCTGTAATTATCTCCAAATCAAGTGAATAAAAACATTATTGGACAATCAAAGCTGAATAGTAATTAACAAAGTAACCTATGTTTACAATGTTAATGCAACAGTGAATAAATAAATTAGAAAAAAATAATTTAAGAAATAACTAGATAAATAACAGTCAATATCATATGTTGTCAAAAATAATCAATGTCTATTCAGATAATCATTTTAACAGAGTCTCAACTATACTCTCCTACTACCCTGTAAGGACAGGTGTTCTGTGTTTTTGGAAAAGAGTAACAAGCCATCAGCTGTGATTTGTTTAAGTACAAGCGGCCTAAATGAAATCTGCCATGACAGTCTGTTAAAAGTCAACTGCACTGTTCCATTTCGTGTGACCTTAAAGTGTTCTGACCAACAAAATCATACAGATATTCAAAGAAATACAAATCAAGGTACATAATTATGTCCTGACCAACAAAATCATACAGATATTTAAAGAAATACAAATCAACATAAAAAATATTTATCCAAAAATGAAATAACACATTACATGAAGTATCCTTTTTCATGGCATCTATAAATTCAATTTCTATCATGCTAATCAGTGAAAAAGTTTATAATTTAATAACATGCTAATGTTATTTTAATATGTACCTATTGCATTAAACACTTCCTTCTAGTTTATGTTCATAAACTAGTAAAATATTAAACATGTTGTGCTTGCTTATATTTTGGTTACTAGTATGTAGTTTGTAGAAAAAAATCAAGAAAAGACAGATTTCATTCGATTAAAAAAATCCAAAATTCATTGAATGTCCTTCTTGTAGTTGCTGGTTCTGAAGCTGGATATTTAATTGGTGGTTTGTTAGGCGGCGTTATTGTGGGAATTCTGATACCACATCTTATTTACCTCTTACTTTACTTTCGGAAAAAGACATGTGTCATGTAAGTATATAAACGATGTAAAAATGAGAATCAGAAATGCAATACAACCCCAGTATATTGGGAATTTTTTTGTCAATTTTGATATTTTGAGATACCCCTTTTGAAAACCAGAATGTAGAATGTTATGATTTCTACATATAATGTTCAACATAGTATTCCTCGTCACATACTATAATTTGAACGAAAAGCCTATGGCAGGATTTTTATAATTTGTTCTGAAGTGCAAAAAAAAGTACTTTGTTATATAAATCTATAGTAAATGTACCTGTATTTTGAGATGGTTCCTCAAAATAACCACACGATATATTTTGCTTAAATTTTTGCTTGTATACTGAAGTTATTGTCAGTTACATTTTGTATAAAAATAAAGAGTTTTTCTATTGTAGTTTTACATCCCCCCCCCCCTCTGATACTTGCTGACATTCAAATGTCAAATGTATCATATATGATAAGTTTTTTTTTTAAACTTGGAATATTATTATATCAAATTGAATACGACTCCTGTGATCGATATTTATTTAACTTAATTTGATCAAAATAAAAAAAAAGCGTTAAAGAGGGAAGGATCTGTTGAGTGACATCACATACCTGAGGGAACTGAATACTAATAACTTAAGGCTCTTCGGGATGGATGATTTAAACAGGTAGAGACCAATGGTGCCTAAGGGATATAGAATAGCTCGTTTGGGATATTATATCCCAAATGGAATATACATTTAGAGTGCAAAAAATGGGGGGATAATTTGGTTTATATATTGTAAATCCATATGGATATAAACTGAATGCAATAAATTTTAGCGGATCCTCGGATCTTCCGAGGGACCAAGCCCCTCTAAACAGTGGGTATACAGAAAAACTTTTGAAGTATTTTGATGCGGATATATAATATTTATACTAGATAAAAATTTTAATATAAAATAATATAGTAAATGAATGTCTCATTTGGGATATTACATTTTGGTGATTGGTCTCAACCTGATTAAAGAAAAATTACTTTTCGCGATCGACTCTGTTGATCCTTGATAGTTATAAGAATGAGAGTTATTTCCCTATAGATAAGAAAGTCAAGAGTATTGATGAAAACCTGAGTGTCACTATTTTGTCACTATTTTCTTATGCTATTAACCAAATGAAGAATTGAGAAAGAACTGCGAACGATAGTATTGTTCTCCCGCCTACCTCCAAGTCAATTTTCGAAAGTTAACCTGTTGAATGATTTTTCATATCTATATAGATATTCATATGAATTTTCATAAAACATTACTTTTTTGGGAAAACAAAGAGAGATAACTCTATAATTTTTGTAAAACTCGTGTTTTTCACAATAGAAATCAACGGAAAACGGAAAATATTTTTAAAACATCCCCCCCGTGAAACAAAAATTCCTTTTTACAGGTAACATGGACTGTCATTTCACATATTCATACCAAAGCTTTTTGTGTTTCACGGGGGGGGGGGGGGGGGGCGGGGGGGGCATATGTTTACAGACAAAAAACTACAAAAATGTCTGGTTTTTTCATCAATTTTAAAGGGGTTTACGACTAAAACATTGTATTTTATTAATAATATCTGTTTATTTTATTTGAGTAAAACATAAAAAATTTAAGGGACATTTATTCATATCCAAGAATATTTTAAAATGTGGTGTTGCTTTAAAGCCCGATTTCAATAAAATATATCGTCCACCCCCCTTATATAAAGAGCTGGAATTAGGGGTAATTAACTATTTAACACTTGAATTAAAATTATCAGTCAATTACCATTGAACTGTTCTTTGCATTCAGCAAAGATTTTACGGCCAAATTGCCATTAGTATTGAATTAAATGGGTGTAAAATGTGGGCGGGAATCAAGAGTTGGCGTGCGTAGTTCTTCCACCCTGCGTCGTGAAATCAGTAAGCATGACTTCAAAAATTTGAAGTAGGACTGCTTAGTACTTAAGTAATCATTAAAAGGAAGAGTTTCGATGAATGTAATATAATTATATTGTGATGAAATGTGTCCTATCCTAAAGTCCATATCCTGAAAAATAATTTTCAGATGTTGGTAGAGAGTTAATACTTATTATTCAATGGAAGCATTTTACAAATTTAGATGACCATGAATAAAGGGGAAGCGTTTTAAAGGTGCAATTTATTTTCAATATATGGTCAACTAAATAAAACTCTGGAGACTAAACCCTGCAAAAAAGGGTCAAGAAATTCAAATTGGTAAAGGGCAAACCAACTGAAAATATTTTTTTCCCAAAGCCCATTAGTTATTAGGATACAATATATTTTCCTTCGGCCTGAATCCTAATTCAGCTAGACATAAATGTGCGAATGTTGGTAGAGAGTTAAATACTCTTTATAATCATGGGATTTGTTCATAAATAAAGGGAGAATTAATATTATTGATGTTGCGATGTATTTCCGATATAGGACCTGCTACCCTTACAAATTAAAGTTTGCTTTAGTTACAATAGTAGCAAGGTATTTACTATATTTTAAAATCAAAGTGTTACTATGGCCAATGTATTTTTACTATGTATTTGAAATTATGATACTTTTTTCTCTCTAATTCTTATTTGATCTGAAAAGAAATACTTCACTACTTCATATTCATATTTTTATAATTACTTCATATTTCAAATATTATATCCAAAATTTACAAAATTGGATTGTAATTTAAGAGATAATAAGGCTCGAAATATAATAAAAATTAACATGATTAAAGTGAATTAACGTTTCATATAAAATCAAAGTATTAAAATATGTATTATAGTAACCATTGGTTAGTAAACTTTAGTGAGTTTTTACGAAATTCCACTCTGGATCCTTCCTGAATTTTACAATGGTAGAGAGCATACTAACTCTAAATATTTCCTTGCCAACTGTCCATTATTGAGTTTAGGATACACTTTATTTTCACTATAAATTACAACTTGTTGCCACCCTGGGTTTTGAATCCAGAATCAAAGGAACATGAATAAAATAATGCTGACAAAGGACTAGACCTTCAAAATCACCATTTCTCTCGTTATCCATAAATTCTGCCTACGTTAAATTAGTCTTCATTGGTTTAATTATTTCAAAAAAGAAGCAGAGAAGTTACGAACGATGACGGACGAAAACTCTAAGTCACAAGATACCAAAGAAATTCATGCCGTCAGACACTTAAAAAAATGAAATTCAATAAAATTTGACTTCCGTTTTTCTTTACCATTCTAAAGATGCAAAGTCATGCTAAAATGGAGAAAAGAAGAAAATACACGCTATCAAGATAATGTTGAAAATGAGACAAGAACTCAATCTACGAATGATGAAACTGATAAATATACGACCATTCAAGACGCACAAGTTCGTGCTAAGGTAAGTCAATGTCATGCATATATCATCTACAGAATAATGAAAACAAGAAAAAGAGTTTTCTATGAAAGAAAAGTTTTGTTTGTATCTACAAGTACATTGCACTCCAACGTACTTGTTCTTTTTTTCAACAGAGCAATGTTTATCGAGATACTATACATGATATTAATACAAAGCCATTACCAAGAACACCTCACAGACACTCAGCTTCAAATGGACGCATTCCAAATGCCCAAAACGATTCCTTATATAACGATGGAGCTTTTGAAATAGACATAAATGCACAAGAAGAATACCAAGACCCTTTTCCTGAATCAAAGTGGCCTAAAAATTGTCACATTAACTTATTGAAACGCGCAAAATCAGTAACAAGCAAAGAGGAAACTAGCGGTATTCCTTCTTATGTTACTATTATTGGTGAAGGGGAGAGTAGCGATTTCAAAGTTGTACACAAGTGTTCATCTTGCCAGAAAAAGAGTTTATTTAAAATCAAGGAGCTAGAAAATGAAATTGAAGAAGTTCAACAGCTTGCTCCTGAAGAAACCGTCAGAGAGAGTCCCTATTTTATGTCAGAACAAACCGAAGATTCTGATATTCATAATTACAAAAAGATGAACGAAGCAGTCTCCGAGCTTTAATTCTAGAATGTTTTTGAAAGGGGAAACAAATGTAGTTATAGGACTTGGTGCTGTATTGTTTAGAATGAGTTTAGTATAACATACATTTCTATGCAATATAAAAGAGGTTCCTCAAGGTGTCTACCGTATGTAATAAAGTTGATTCCATTGTTTAATTTCGGTATACTTTTGTGTATTTAATCACGACAACACTGGGTTACTGTAGAGGTTTGTAGAATGTTAGCTATTGTTAGAAGGATTCTATTAGTGACCGATTAGGTCAGAGTGGTCAAATTAGGAAGCGGTAACATCAACAGGATGCCACGTTTTTTCTTGTCCTACTGATATGTTCTAGTGTTAGGGAATATTTCAGTTATAAGGACAGTCACTGTTAAACGGGTAGCCATTGGAATAAAGAAGGATTGTTAGACTGGCATACATATTTTCCTTATCTCCCTAGTCGTGTGAGAGGGGTGTTTGGCACATTTTCATGATGGGAACAGTTCAGAGTCATGTGTGACGAGAACCAACATCATGGGGGGGGGGGGGGGCATGCGGGTGTTGAATAGGGAATGTTTGAAGTAGAGGGTCAACCAGGAGTTTGAGACCATCGAGTCCAGGGCTTAATTACGTTTCAGATTAACATCCTGTTGCAGAGGGGAGTCGATTGTCCTCATGCTTATTTATCAAGGGGCGGATCATCACGTGACGGCGGAAAACAACGACTGGGTGCCTATAGAGTGACTAGTGAAACGTGTGAATAATTTTTATATGTGAATTAAATTTAGGAAAGGCATTTACAAAACCAATTATCTGAAATTATGTGCAGCAAATCCATTGAAGTTGAATTTTTTCTTATTTCTAATGAACGAACGATTTTCTTGAAGTTATAATATATATGTATCAGATAATTGTTAATTTAATTACTATATTTATATTTATTCCTATTTTGTGTGTGGTGTGGAAGGAGGGAGAAAGAATATTGTTATCTTTTTGTTTATTTTCACAATAAATCTTTTTGTTAATTTAACAATTCGTACTTTTGTCTCAGCCTTACAAAATCTACAGGAACTCATTACAGTGAACAAGAGGAATAAAAGGAATCTTAAATATACATGTTCACTTTAGCTAGTAGTATTAAAATATCACACAATTTTGACTCTGGCATCTTCAAAAGTATCTTAATACTTCATAAATCCTAATTAGCAGTACATTCATGAAATTCAGACATGCGATATATGTCCCTATCTAATAGGTCAAAAGATTGTAAGTTGAAATGTTGGCATAAATTGAATTGTTCAAACTTTTTTAGCTCACCTGAGCTGAAAGTTCACGTGAGCTTTTCTAATAATCCTTTGCCCGGTGTCCGAATGCCCTGTCTGTAATTCACTATCACTCTGTACACATTTAATATATTGGACTTTTCAAGAACCACTAGGCCAATTTTCTCCGAAGATAACACCAAATTTTTTGGGGTAAAGGGATTTTAACTTGTTTAAATGAAGGGACGGGTCCCTTTCCAAGGGAAAGAAATCAAGAAAAGGCAAATAAGGGTGGATCATTAAAAATCTTCTCAAGAAACAATGAGCAAAAAAATGTGAAACTTAATATGTGGAAGATTCCCGAGGTAGTGTATATTCTATACTGTTTAAATCGCGGTCCCCAGGATGAGGTGGGAACATAAAATTTACATTGATATATAATGGGAAAATCTTTAAAAATTCTCTTTTCAAGAACCAATTGAACAGATAGGCGAAGTTTGCATAAAAGTCCTCTGCATGAGGCAGCATAAATTCAAAATTCCGCATTTGACTGGAGTCCCCTTTGTATATTTAAACCCGTTAGTATGGACATTTCTTAAATGTGGATAAAAGGAGCAAGCTATTTGCAAATGAAATATGATTCTTTTATATCAAAATAAAAATAAATCTTATTGTCTTACAAAATACAGAGTTACAGAGTCCATTCTTGGTATTATCAGAGTTTTAATTTCATAACATATTCTACCCTACTGGAAAGATGCTAATAAATTGCACCTATAATGAATAATATTGTTTATGTTTCTATGAACGCTGCATGTTAGCAATTTATAAGTAAAAATTATCGATTAAAAGAAAGATAACACGTTTTCATAAGACTTGACAAAGAATTCAATAATCCATCATACAAACAGTCCATCACTGAGTACACCTTTCCGTAGACAATGAGAAGAATATTGGATTAGAAAACTAGGCACGGCCTTTCCCTATGGATGCAATGACAATGTCGATAGTGTTGGGAATATTTCCAGTCCACAGTATAACAATGTAAATGTGATGGGACTTTTTAACCATACACAGAGACGTAAACGTAATTATGGACATCGGTCTTACAATAAACCTTTAATACACGATCTCTTTTGATTCATTACTAGTTTACTACCTTACGTAAATCAACAGTTAGGTCTTCATCACATTCTCAACAAACTTTACTTTGTCCCTTTGAAAGTTTAAAATAGTCTACTTAAAAAGGTCAAAGAAAGTCTTGACACGTTGTCAGAATGGATTAAATGTATCGGATGTATGTTAAATCTCGCATTAAGCGACTGAGGGGCAAAATGAAAACCAACTATCCTTCTGTGATCAATAATTCAGAAGTGAAAAAAGAATTAAATAGATTACACAATCAGTATGTACTGGTCCCTGCTGACATAGCAGGTAACAACATTGTCTTTGTTTGTAAAGCTAATTATTTAAATTGTACTTTAGAGGAACTGGAATTTACAGCTGTAATTCAAGTGGTAATCCGACTTATACCCATAGTTCCCTTTCTAAGGAGGAAATTCTTCAAAATCATGTGTCAGTTTTGAACATTTTTAATATTCCCAACAACCAACATGAATTTGAATAACTATATCTATATTAGAATTCGAATCTTCCAGTAAATGTTCTACCAAGCCTCTTTCTTTACTCCTCACTAAAATATTCACAGTAGTGAAGGAGAAACTTCAGGAGTACAGTACAACAGTATATTCGAGAAGTGGTGTAAATCAGATGTGGATACTTAAAAACTATAAAGAACTTTTAGATAATTTGAAATCAAAATTTTTTACTAAAATCAATAACATCAAAACGTTCGACTTTTCAACACTTTATACAACCACTCCCAACGATAAATTGAAGTCCAGGCTTTTTGAAATCATTGACATCTGGTTTTTCAATAAAAATGGAACTCGTAAAATTACTTACCTTGTCATTTGGTCATTTGCAAAATCATTTTGTTAAAAACATTCTGATTCTACACACAGGTACTCTGAAGTTGATATTAAAAAAAGATGCTTGAGTTTCTGATTCACAATATCTATGTGGTTTTTGGAGACCAGGTCTTCCAACAATCTATTTGAATTTCCATGGGTACCAATTACGCCCCGTTATTAGCAGACCTATTTTTCTATTCAATTGAAGCAGAATTTGTTCAAAATCTTGTACGTGAAAAGAACAAATCAATTGTTGTGGCCTTCAACTCAACATTTAGATATATCGACGACGTATTGTCAATTAACAATTGTTTTTTCCATTCAAATGTCGATACGATATATCCAAGTGAGCTTGAAATAAAAGATACCACAGAGTCTGATACATCTGTTTCATATTTTACTAGAAAAAGACGTTAATGGTAATCTAACAACCAAGCTTTATGATAAACGTGATGACTTAAAACTTTTCAATCAACTTCCCTTACTTATGCAGCAATATACCTTCATCACCTGCATATGGGGTTTATATTTCTCAGTTGATTCGATACGCAAGAGCATGCTCTACGTATGAATAATTTCTAATACGAGGTAAATTATTGACAAACAAGTTGATGAAACAAGAATATCAGCAGTTTAAAGTCGTCATTTCGTAAGTTCTATGGTCGATACAATGGCCTTGTCAGCAAATACAATTTGTCATTAAGTCAAATGCTGACTGACCTTTTTCCATACTAATTGTTAAGCCATTATTTGCACACTGAATTGTCGACGGATCTTTCCGTTATTATCCAATCATGACAAAGAGCACAGGCGGGTGTGACCGGTCAGCAGGGGATGCTCACTCCTCCATGGCACCTGATCCCATCTCTGATGTTTTAGAGATCCGTGTTTGCTCTGCTCCTAATTTGTACTGTGTGTGTGGACTTATGAGCTTGAATACTGTTCGTTATCTCCATATATTTCATTTAATTGTTTGTTTTTAGTTTTGGCTTGTTTTTCTTTTTTCCCTTTGGAGAACTCATACAATTGTATTGTTGAATGGACTTTTGAGCTTGAATACTGTTCGTTTTCTCCATACATTTCACTTTGAGAAAAGACTTAACATTTCGTTAATCGAAAAGGGAAAGATTGTTGTACATGTATATACATCTCAGACAGCTACATTTAATTTATAAAAATGTAAAATGGGATCAAAATATACACCAGGAAGGAAATCACTGGAATAGGAAAGCTAATCAAAATAAATTTTATACACATGACTTGATCAATATTATAACATACACTGTATATTGTTAACTGAATGCTTAAAGACACTGAACAAGCACTGGTTGTGGGACAAAAATCTTAAAGTTTTAAAAGTACATCTAATTTCAGAGTTGTTTTTTTATCCTTAAAAAGATTGAATCAAGAAAGTACACAGTAAATATACTCCCCTCAAATCGTTAGATCTTAAACTTAATTTAAGTGGAAAAATACAGTTCCCTACTCTGATTTGAGGTCCTCAGAAAACACATGCCTCCGCCAACCTCACCCACTTCTTACTGTTTATTAACAACTTAATCTTACCTACAATTGCTATTGAAGGTAAATATATTAACCTGTCTGTCTGTACATATTTAATTTTATTGTGTTGCAAAATATACAAAACCAAAAGGCATTAAATGTTACAAAATAACATGTACAAAGTTCACCTCAAACAAATAGAAATTTCAACCGAGTCGAGTCGAGGCTTACTTTTTCCTTAAAGTTTATTTTTATTCGATGATTTTATTATTGCGAGGAAACGTATTAGTTGCTGACTTAGGCGTAAAGGAACAAGAAGACTTCCTGGTACGGGAAACATCTCACTGCTAGACACACAAATGGATGTAAATAAACAGATAAGTGGAGGAAATGCTATAAGGCTGCACGAATATAATAGCTTGTTTATATTGATTGATTGTATGTTGTTTTACGTCCCGTTGGAGAATTTTTCACTCATATAGAGACGCCACTGTAGGTATATCGGTAAAGGGCTTCAAATTTAGACCTATATTCGGCACTAAGGGCCATTGAGCAGTGAGGGTTCTTTATCGTGCCAACGCCTTCCCTGACACGGGGTCTCGGTTTTTAAGGTCCCATCCGAATGACACGCAATTTTCTTTTCAAAATGTCGAGCGCTTGGCGAAGGAACAGTTGCTGTCTCTATTTTATCGACTTATGTCAGTCAGTATGTCGGCCATGATTCGAACACCCGACCTTCCGATCACGGAGTAAGCGCTAGTTTGATTAAAATAAAGGTAAACTTTAAAATAAATTAAAGTCTAGTGAATATCATTGATATTTACACTATGAAAGAAATCTCTATTTAAGAGATAAATTACAGTTTTTCCCTATTGAATATGTATAATTTAAATATCAATAGATAAATATTTTTTTAATTTATCTATTTATTTATTTTACTGAACTCGCATAACATGTAGCAACTTATATTTTTTTTCTGTTTTAAATATCAGATTTAATTCTTTTCTTTACAACCTGGAGGCAAGCCCCATTTGCTTACAAGTTCGCTTAAAAATATCATTACGATGGCGGTTTCTGCGCACCATAATAGGCCGTGTCCCGTTAAGCGTTGACTGACTTACTGCTTGAGATGCGGTCCTGACGATCGTTCAGTAAGAATGTTCCGATTGTTGTGTAAATATTTAGGACTTGTTTTATTTGTGGTTGGGATAATAATTATAATAAGGACAGTTACTTTCTCTGTTCGTACTGACGCGGTGAGGAGTTGTCGTCTTAATGACGATGATTATATCCAGGCTACTGAAGAAGTGATAGAACGGTTTCAGAAGGCTTTAAGGTTTCGCACCATTTCTACAAACCTGCATCAGTATGATACTGAGGAACTTCAAAAGATGGTGGACTTTGTTCATAAAGGTAAACATCCATTCCCGATTTCGTTTTTCCCCCACTACTATGGTGCGTTATTCGGATCAAAATTAGTTTTTTATATAAGGTAAAGGTTCGGTATTACGGATTTACTTTTGGCGGTACGAAAACATGTTTTTATTGTGTTTCAATACGAGGTAAATAATTCAGATATTGATATTTTTTAAATTAAATTAAAATGTCAGGGATTTTAAGAGTAAAATATTATTGTTATTAATTTAGAATATTTTGGGTCAAACCACTTTAATTTTGGCGAAGAAGTGTATGAAGATTTAGAAGTTATATATTGGGTATATACTATTTCTCGAGTTTCCTTTTTCGATCATTAATGCTGTGTCCATTTTTAAATGGAGTTCTTGAAGTGCAATATAAACTACAAAAAATAATAGCAGCTTAAAATTCTCTCGATTTTCTGCATATGACGGCTGGTCAGATTTGTTACGCGATTTAATTTTTTCACAAGTGCATGAAAGTTCACCGTTTTATCATGATTATTATTTTTTGTCATATAGTGTTAGGTCCCTGTGTATAACTAGGCTTTAGTTCCTTTGTGTATATAATAAAGTTAATGAAATAAAATATAAGTATTCGATACAACCGCACTGAGCAGTGGCCTTCTTCAATGACTAGGAATGATCTACAAATTACAATGGAGTCTGAGTAAACTTGATCAAGGGATTCATTTATTAAAACATCTTTTAAAATATTCCATGAAGTAAATAAATACAATTCATACAATTTACGTACTAAGACTTTTCTTAAAATTGAATTAAGAGAAAACAATCGGTTTTTTATACAGCTTTTCCTGTGGTCCATTCCTCTCCACTGGTGACCCATGACGTAGTGAATAATTACAGTCTTCTGTATAAGGTACAGGGTTCGAATCCAGAGCTACGACCATACATGGTGTGTGCACATTTAGATGTAGTGCCCGTGGATGAAAAAGCCTGGGATGAAGATCCGTTTGGAGCTAATATAAAAGATGGATTTATTTATGCTCGTGGAACGATTGATGTTAAACACATTTTGATGGTATACACGTTATAGGTTTCAATTTCTCTCTCTCTCTCTCTCCCCTGATTTTTCGTAATCTGCAATTGAAACTTTTAGTCTGTTTTCAGTTTTTATTTTTTTTTACTTCAGGGTGTGCTTGAAGCAACAGAATTTTTACTAAAATCTGGCCACAAACCCAAAAGAAGTTTTTATCTGGCATTCGGACACGATGAAGAGGTAAATTATAGCGTAATATCCCTATAGGAATCTAAATGTTTGATATCAATTTATTTCATGTAATTGTGAATTTTATTACAGAAATCGTTTTTGGAAGTGTGTATCACTTATATTAGCATATTAAGCTGTGAAAAAAAAAATGGATTAATGTCTTTTTTAATTAAATACGAATACCTTGTACATACATATTATTGCTTGATATATTTCATAGGAATTAACAGATTAAAAACAAAACATATGAAATAGCCAATTGAATTTCAGGAATATGTATGAAATGTATTGAGATAACGAACAGTGTTCAAGCTCAAAGTCCATTAAACAATAAAAATTTGGAGCAGAGCACAACATCAGAGGCGGGATCAGGTGCCATGTTGTGGGACAAGTAAATTTCTAAAATGGTTTCAATAAATCTTATTAGACACGCGGGAATCTTTTTATCATGTGCTTTATTAAGCGAATATTTCTTAAGGTAATTATAACTTTTAATTAGATAACTCAAGTTTGTTTGGGATAGATTTCTGTAAGGAAATCCAGATACCGTTTTCAAAAAAGTAAAAAAAGAAAAAAAACCCAGAGAGATGTATTTCCCATGTTTTATTATTATTTTTTTTTTACAATACACACAGGTAACAGGACTTGATGGGGCTTCTAAAATTAGCGAGTTTTTATACAGCAGAGGGGTTCGAGATCTGGAGTTTTTAATTGACGAAGGAACAACCATTCTCAACAACCTGTTCCCCGGAGTCAGTATTCCAATCGCCGTGTAAGGATCATTTTCTTAAAATCATTATATACATGTGACTAAAGTAAGATTTACATGATAACATATAAGAAGTTGTTCAAAAAGACCATAGATATAATGAATAAGGTGAAGATGACAAACAGTGATTGGTCTTTAAAAAAAAAAAAACTTCGATGGAAACTGTGAACAGGGCATAAAACGTGAATTCCTGGAAAATTCCAGATGTGAGATCAGGTGCCAAGGAGGAGTAAGCATCACCTATTAAATTTGTTTATCGTAATTTTGTTGAAAAAGAGGTTCCCTACCTTTTGATTTTGTCCGTGGCTTAGAAGTAAAATTCCATTGTTGTTGAAATTTAATTGAATTTTAGAGTAGGGACATCAGAGAAAGGATCGCTGAACGTTGAACTATCTGTCACTGGAACTCCAGGTCACTCTTCAATGCCTGCAGGGGAGACAACTATTGCAACATTAGCAAGGGCCATAACTAGGTGTGTAAAATGATGCAAAGGGAAGTTTCAGTACTGTTAAGTAGGAGGACATCACACATTAGCAGGTCTGAGTGGGGTTGTCACCGGAGAGCGCTTCCATCCGAGGGTGAGAACCCTACTCAGACCTGATAATATGTGATGTCTTCCTACTAAAAGGTCCAATAAAACTAATATAGTTTTATTATCCTGAATAATCTTGATTTAATAAAATAGAGTACGAAGTACCAGTTAAACTCCGATGGTGCGGAGAAACAATCAACACTTATGACATCATATTAGTCAATCCTTCACGTCGTTGTCCGCCATTCAAAAGTCAACAATTTAGGATCAGCATACAATTTGACTGATTTTGCTTACTGTTTGCACTCACCTGAGTTATTAGTGTTAGTCCTCGCACATCACTTGACCAATAAGGGTTAACTTAGTTCTTGCACACTATTGTACTGATTATGGGATAGCTTTGCACCCATTCAAGAGATTTAGATTACTCCAAATACACTATTCGACTGAATAGGGTTAGCCTAGTACTCACCAAAAAGATTGAGGGTAAGTCCGTGCACACTATTTTTACTGAATAGGGTTAAATTTAGGTTTAGTCAACGTTTACTATTCAACTGATACGGATAGTCTCGCATCTACCAAAGAAATTTAAATAATCCTTGCACACTTTTCGACTTAACAGGGTTAGTCTCTCTCCCACTCAGGATATAACACACTTTTCGACCGATTAGAATAAGTCTCGCATCCATCCGAGAGATTAGCCTCGTACTCACGTGAAAAATTAGGGCTAGTAAACCATTTCCCCATGGCCAATTATTTGATATTCTTTAATTTTGTATGTACATGTATTTAAAACCATCGGATCTAGGAGTGGCGCGGATTCACAATTTGGTTAAGAAGTACTATGACGTCATAAACGTTAATCGTTTTCCACACCATCGGACTTGGCGTGTAAATCCATCGTATTTTTGGTGCAGACCATCTGACTTTGACAACGACCATTGGGCTTTAGAGTCCCATCGCACTTTGGAGTCCTACATATATGTATTCACAATTGATTTTGTTTTAAGAATAATGCATGTAAAATCAATGCTATTTCATATTTCTCACCCGTTTTCAGGTTGGAGGAAAATCCCCACCCCAATATGTTTGGAACAGGACCAGAGAAAGACACGTTTACTCATCTTGCTTCATCTGTAAATACATAAAAATATATTCTTTATGAATAGAAAATTGTTTTTATATGAATGATATTTTATCTTAAAAGAATAAGAAAAAGTTTTGTTGAGATGAATTATAAAACAGTTACTTTTTTCCCTCTAGCTATCCTTGCCTTTTCGAACAGTAATTACAAATTTGTGGCTGTTTGGTCCAGTCGTTTCCAGGTAATATGTATAATTATCTAACATAAACAGGTAAATTAAATATATACTGAAACTCAAAAGAAATGCAACATCATAATTTAAAGGGAAATCTTATATAAAGGATATAATTTTGTATCTAAAAAGTAAGGACATCTTCAACTTTGTAAATATCGGTTATTTAATGGTTGAATGATTTTCATACCATTACCGGAAGTTAAGTTTGAGTTCGCTTAACAGAAATCAAAAATTGCATGTTTAACAAAGCATTTGGCGATAATATGGGGTTTTAAGGATTTGTATCTGTTCATCATAAGTAATGCAGCAATGTTCCGAAAAATAAATTCTCCATTCTTTTCCGTAAGCGATGCCAAGGCTTCCTAAAAATGACTGAAGTACGCATTTCCATTGCTCTAGTTGGAAAATCTCAAAATAAAGGTGATGTAGAGTTGCATATGCAAATATGCACCACATCACGCCTCAACAGGCTCTTATGTATCATTAGCATGAATGACAGTCCTTGGACCGGACGTCCAAGGGTTACTAATTGCGCTTGGCTAGAGAAAATTCGACTTCATCATCTGAAAAACAGGCATTTAAAAATGACAAAGAATATTTTTTTTCTCTCAGATCTCAAGATTGATGGACCTATTGCATAGAAATCAAGCTGCAACTGCTGTACATGGCAGTCTTGCACGCTGTAATTGAATGGCCGGTGCGGGGGTGGTTTAACATTCATGTGTTACTTTCTAAAGTTAAAAGATAGCCATTTAACATTTTTATCAAATCTCTGATGTTTTTAAATGGAGTTTTACCTTACTGTATTCATTTTTGAAAATCATTGGATAAAAAATTCAAATATTTGTAGATTACTGCTTGTTGCGTTTCTTTTGCGTTTCAGTATATATGTCTTAACTGAACAGGTAATATATGTATCTTAACTGAACAGATAATATGTATGTTTTAACTGAACAGGTAATATGTATAATAAACTAATAGGTAATTTGTATATATCTTAACTGAACAGGTATGTTTATATCTTTACTGAATAGGATATATTCTTTATCAGAAAGCACTACTATAAAATGTTCATTTAATGGCAGTAAATACATGTACTCATAAATGTAATAGTTTATTGATTGACTGGACAGAAAACTTTCGGAATTAAGATTTTATTTCAAATTTTATACTTGACATATGTAAACATATTTCAGGCTGTTTTCAAGAATTCCATCTTTGAATGCTATAGTAAGGACTGTTACATCTGTTACTATGGTAAATGGTGGTGTTAAGGTATGTATGATTTAATATCTATTGTTTTAGATTATTAGATAGATATGGAGCTTATCTTAACAGATTAAAATTACCGTTGATACCTTTTTTCAAAATAAAATACCTTATCGACAGAAAACCCTACATTTTGAGCTTTTGTTTATGTTTGTATGATATTTTTAAGGTTGTTTAAAGTTGAATTAAACACTTATAAAATATAAATAATTATATAATTTAATTATTTTCTTCTATTAATTAAGTTTTCTTCAAATAAATAATAGCGGGATTTCTAACGCTCTACCCTCTGTGTATTCAAGGTGAATGTCTTACCACCGTCTGCCACGGCTCTAGTTAATCACCGTATACACCCGGCGCAGACAGTAGAAGAGGTAAGAGCGGGCACCTGTTAATGTCAAAGAAGGACAACCGATACAACCACTATACGAGTTAGAGTTAAGGGACCTTAAATACACAGCTGCTTAACAAAACGTATCTTTAT